TAATATAGTACTAATAGGTAGTCTAATACCTGTATTGCGAACTACTTAAATTAGACAATAACTAAAGTTGTTTTTTTCTTTTTTCTTTTGTCTTTATCTTTATCTTTTTCTCTGCCTTTTTTTCTACTTTCTTCTTCACTTTCTTCTTCACCTTCTTCTCTACCTTCTTTTTTACTTTCTTTATCTTCAACTTCTTCACTTTTAACTTCTTCTGCTTTGAATATTAATAAATCATTTTTTTCAGATATTTTTTTGGTTAGTTTTTTTTAGTTCTATAAGCTGCCTTTTTTGATGTTAATAGTTCACTAAATCCTATTGAGAGTGAATTATTACTTAATAGACTTAATACTAGTATTACTATCTCTATTAATTCATCAGCACTTTTTTCTTTGTTGCTTCTGCTATTTTTGCTATTGCTGTTTTTGCTATTGTTGTTTTTGTTGCTACTATTATTGCTTTTGCTGTTTTTGCTATTGCTGTTTTTGTTGTTACTATTTTTGTTGTAGCTATTTTTGTTGTAGCTGTTTTTGTTACAGCTGTTTTTGCTACTACAGTTGTTGCTGCTACTGTTTTTGTTGCTACTGTTTTTGTTACTACTTTAGCTATTAATAGTTTGCTTAAGGTTGCTTCAAGTTCAGAGAGCAAATCATCTAAAGAGGTTTCTTCCTCACTTTCTTTAGTTTCTTCTATTTTTTTCTTTTGTCTCTTTTCTATTTTTTTCTTTTGTTGTTTCCACAGTACTACTCTATTATTATCACTATTATTATTATCTGCATGGCTACCTTTTCTTTTTATTTCTGCACTATCTTGTTCTTTCTCAATATCTCTTACTCTAGCTTTTTCTTTCCTAATATCTCTTATTCTAGCTTTTTCTTTTCTAATATCTGTTATCTTTTATATGATAAAACAAATATCTTTTTAGTTAGGAACTAGCAAATTAAATAAATAATTTTTTTATTATTTTTTTATTGAAAAAAATTATCTTTTCATATACACATCTTCTTCCTTTATTCTTTATAATATCACCTTTTATTAACAACTAATACTACAAACTAGGTATATACTAGTTAATTAAATATTTTTTACTTTGGTACATAAAAAAAAAATCTCTCTTTATATATATACAATTAATTACAAATATTAAATCAATCATATGTATTTTATTATATAATAAACTTTAATAAACTTTGCATACAGAAGCATTGATAAAAAAATAATTGATAATTTAAAATTTGATTAGTTAAAACTAAAGATTAACTTCATGTTGTCTCGCAATACCTTTTTTAGTTTTTTTTTTACCAATTGACTAATTAATTATATCTAATATTTTATAGCTTGTTTATATAAATTTTGAAACTTTTAATCAAAAAAACTGTAGATTTTTATTAGCTATTTTATTTTAAAATACTAAAAATTTAATATAATATCTTTATATTATGTACTAGTATTATTAGAATCATTTCTAGTAAAAGTTGATAGAACACTTGATCTCAAATATTTAAATGAAAGCTATACTTTTAAAAAACAATTTAACAAAATTTTAGATTATTTTAGTTATAAAAAATTTTAAATTTTCTATTGTAAAACAATATAAAAATTTGTATAACAGTACTTTTCAATAGCAAATTAACAACAACATGCTCTTTTGATGATTAAACTAATATAAGGTAAATTCAATAAGCTAAAGTTTTTTATTAATTACTATATAAAACTTGGCTTAACATGAAATTTAATAATATAAAAATTCAATAAGCTAAATATTTAGGTTTTCTTCATATTCTTCAGATTATTAAGTTTGTTTTGTAGTTTACTAATTACTAGTTATGATTAGTTATACAATACCTCTTTACAAGTTGGCAACTAACAACTAATTATAATTGAACTAGTTGCTAATTAATCAATTAGTTGTTTTAAATTTTTTATCAATTAATTAGTTGTAAAGTTGTTAACTAGTTGATTTTTCAACTAACAATTCAGATCACTATTAAGGTAACTTATATTGCTAAGTAAATTTTATTAGTTTAATATATGAGGTTACATATAGATTTTCTTTATAATTTGTAATTACATGAAGAGTATATAACAAGCTATATATACAACTTTAGTTATTATAGCATAACGTTACATAAAAAAATCTTAATAGAATCTATGAGCAGAGGATTTGATAGTAGAAATCCTGAGTTAGTGAAATAATATGGCTTTTAACAGTTAAGCTAGTTAATACTTGATCTGACAAAAAACACTGCTGAGAAAAGTATAAATTGAGATAGATGCGAGTAAGTCTGGTTTATAGCAGAGGATCAGCAATACCAACTTGGCTTAGTGGCTAACTAGATTTGAAAGGATCTGTCTTATAAAATATCTTAAGAGAGAGAATACAGATACTGGTAGAGAGCTATCGTAGAAACTGAGGTTATATGAATATCACAAGAGTCTAAGCTAGGTGAGTTCATGAAATAGGTATGAGTTGCTCTAGTAGATTTGCTTTGAGGTTAACTAGAGCTCTGCAAAGCTTACAATATATTAAGTACAAGCATCTTAAGAGGATCTAAGCTGAAGTCAATAAATAGATCTGCAACGAACTAGCTAGCTTAAGTGATTAGATGTTATAGTAACATTAGTTTGTAACAGTATGGGTTAGTTGAACAGAGTGTTTAAATAGATAACTCACAAGCAGGTTACAGGCAGTGTTGTACACGAATACTATCCTGTCAAAATTTCACGAATGCAAACAGTCCCGAACAGTGTCCTATATCCCAGACAATATCCCATGTCTATGATAGTTGTTCATGTCATATAGTTTATCAAACAACCTGATTAGCTAACACGGCTATTCTTATTATAATTTTAAATGTCCGAGACGAAAAAATTTAGCAGACATGTCTGGGACGTCCCATCCTGGACTATTCGCTGTCCGCATTTGTATATTATGACAACACTAGTTACAGGTATAGTAGTATAGTATAATACTAACAAGTAGTCTAACACCTGCATAGTAGACTACTTAAATTAGACAATGACTAAAGTTGTATATGTAGCTTGTTGTACACTCTTTATGTAATTACAAATTATAGAAAAACCTTATGTAGAATCTCATATATCAAACTAATAAAATTCATTTAGCAATATAAGCTATTTTAAAAATTAAAAAAAAAAAAAACAACTTTAGTTATTGTCTAATTTAAGTAGTTCGCAATACAGGTATTAGACTACCTATTAGTACTATATTA